GGGGAAGGGAGGGGACACCCGGGTCAGGGGCGCGGAGGGGGATCCCGGGAGAAGGAGGGGGTCCCGGGAGAGGTAGGGGACGCCCAGGGGGTCAGGGGCGCGGAGGGGGTCCGGGGGGAGCGAGGGGGCACTCGCGGAGGGGGCCTCGGATAGAGGCCGCCGCGCCCGTGAGGCCCCAGCCTGGTGGCGGTCTCACTGGCGGAGGCTGAGGCGAAAAGGGGTCGCAGGACCGCGCCGCCCACCCTCGCGGCCTCCGGAGCCCACCTACCCAGCAGCTCCGCCCAAGGCCTCCGGCAGACCCCCGGCCCAGAGCCTGAGGCCGCGTCCGGCGCCGCCGAGCCGGACATGGTTACTGCTCGCAGCCGGTCCGCAACTCGCGGTCCCCGAGCCCGCGCTGGCTTCCCATTGGCTGCGGCCGGGCGCGCTTACCCATTGGCTGGCGGGCGCCCGGCCGCGCCCTGTGGCGTTGGCCTGCTTGGAGGCCATCTTGGCGGCGGCCGCTGGGGGCCATCTTGGTGGTGGCAAAGCCGGAGGCGACTGGGCGGGGATTTGGAGCTTGACGCCGGGCGCCAGGGGAGTGAACCGCGGAGGGACTGCGATGTCCCTTGTGCATTGTTCTGTAGGGGGGCTAACCTCGGCTTGATCTTTTCTGCCAGAGTGTCAGGAGTAACACACTCCTGCATACCTCACTGAGCCTGACTGGCCCGACTGTAAACATTCGCTGCACCGGGAGCCCCTCGCCCTCTTCCTTTATGTCTTAGCAACACCCGGGCAAGAGCAAGTTGTGCGGCCGAAATCCCGCCGACGGGACGGGACTCAGCCACGGGTCTGCGTCGGGGATAAAACGGGAGAAACCCGCTGCAGAGCGCACTGGGCGTCAGAAGTGAAGGTTTCGCTTCGTCCAGACAATGACTGTTCCCTCAACCGCACCGCGGGTCGTTTCGAACAGCTCCTGCCCGGAACAGGAGCCGGTCGCGAAGAGACAACCTGACAAATCCAAGGAGAGGCCAAAACCACCGCCTGCGTTACTCGGAGCACGCGGCGCGCTCCCGTCCACCCATAAGTTGGAAAACAGGAGAAATAAGCTCACGATGGCCTGTTCCACAGAGCGTTCTGCAGCGCGGGAAGTGGTCCGTGTTCGTCCGGTTCCGTGCAGCCCGTGCTGCTGAGCAGAGTGCTGGGTTTCTCTGAACTGTAGTTAACTTGCGCCTCTGTGCCGGGCCGTGCTTGGCGGTGTTACCACCTAAGAAGCCGCAGTGAGGCCCGGAGTCAGGACTGCCCTTCTTCTGTGGTTTCCATCTTCCCCTCGATATTACCTTTGTAAGAGTCATCTACATTGTGTATAGCATTGATTAATTCATTGTCATGGCCATATAGTATTAGGTTGGTGCAAAAGTAATTTTGGTTTCAGACCACGAATTTTAAATCCTTACAACTAGGCTCAAACACATCTGCATTAATCAAATTAGGAACCATAACAACACACTTTTGCCAACGAGAAATAAGTTTGATTATTCCTGTGGTGTAAAAAATCCATGCTTTGGGATTCCATGAACTCTTGGAAAGCATTTTCTGCATCCTGCTGGTTGTGGAAGTGGTTTCCCTGCAAAAAGTTGTCAAGATGCTTGAAGAAGTCGTAGTCGGTTGGCAAGAGGTCAGGTGAAGACAGCAGATGAGGCCAAACTTTGTAGCCCAATTCGTTCAACTTTTTAAGCATTGGTTGTGCGGTCAGCCCGTGTCATGGAGAAGAATTGGGCCCTTTCTGGTGACCAGTGTCGGCTGCAGGCATTGGGGTTTTCAGTACATCTCATTGACTTGCTGAGTGTACTTCTCAGATGCAATGGTTTTGCCGGGATTCAGAAAGCTGTAGTGGATCAGACCGGCAGCAGACCACCAAACAGTGACCGTGACCTTTTTTGAGTGCAAATTTGGCTTTGGGAAGTGCTTTGGAGCTGCTTCTCGGTCCAACCACTGAGCTGGTCTTCGCTGGTTGTATAAAATCCACGTTTCATCGCAGGTCACAATCCAATTAAATGGTTCCTTGTCGCGTACGAGAAGAGAAGGTGACACTTCAAAACAACGATTCTTTTTGATTTTCAGTCAGCTCATGAGGCACCCACTTGTTGAGCTTTCTCACCTTTATGATTTGCTTCAAATGCCAAACGACCTTAGAATGGGCGACGTTGAGTTCTTCAGTGACTTCTCCTGCAGTTGTAAGAGGATCCACGTTGATGATTGCTCTCATTTGGTCATTGTCAACTTCCGATGGCCC